CGAAAGAAACGGTACACTCTTGAACATTTAACAGAACGATCGTGATTGTAACATATTCACTCTTAACACACATATATATATATATATATATATATATACATATATGTCTATAGTTATAGCCGTATTTGCTGCTTACGTTCCGTTCGCTTTTATATCTACATACATATACATGTATTATATCACACCTAAGGTTTGTTTTTGTTCCGCGAGAGGAATGATATGTATGTTACGTGTCCCGCGATGGGGGGCACGAGGCGACTTTCATTCATAAGTACGTACACCCCGGCCGGATATTCTCTTTCAGTCACGTATTCTCCCGGAGACAGAGCGAGAGATATCTTATCATCTGAATGTCGTCATGGGATACGTGACTGGAAAAAAATACGTATAGCGACGGTGGACACCCTGTATGTACGTCAATAATTTCTCTTTATCTTATTTCCAACTGCAGAGAGCAAAATATCGTTTTCGCTTTTTTTTGCGGTATCCGCTAGTAATAACACACACACATACACACACACATACACACACATATATATATATATATACGTATCATGTGTATGTATGTGTGCGGCTTGTCTCTTAAATAACGATTAATTTATAATTGTGCAATCAGTGTATTTTGCTCATCCTTTGCGCGCTACTAGTAATGATTCATCTATATAGAGCGTTTTTCATCTTGCGGTTAATTTAGAACTTGTGATTTTACAACGTTGATTTTACAACGTTTGATTGCAACGAAAGAAAGATAACACACGTATGATAGCACTTGTCAGCGTATCGTGAGATACGTAACGCAGCTACAACTCCTCCTTGAGAGAAGAACGATTAATAACTTAATCAATTAACTCTATCCTGTAATTCTATAATTCTAATAAGCTATACTTTCAATGTGTCTCTTTCGTTTCTCGTGATTCTTCTCGAGGAGGAAGAACGATTTCGATTTTGCTCCCTCTGAAGTCTCTTTTACTCTCTCTCTCTCTCTCTCTCTCCCCCCCCCCTCTCCCTCTCTCTCGAGTGACAATGTCAGAATTGATTGATCAATTAAAAATAACAACTCTATCTCTTTATGCATCTTATACATGGACGTCAAATGATTGGGCGTATGATAAAATCTTGGAATACGATCGCGCCACCGATGTTGTGCGATTATGTGAAACAATTCGATTCAATGTGTGTTTATAATCTATTGTTCACCTTTATGACGTTATTCAGAAATCGTGCGATACGTTTTTCAGTATTCATTGAACGAACGATGCGAGACAAAGACTTTCTTATTAATATCCTATTCGTTTCTTTCTAGAATAGAAGCACGAGACGCGTATCTTAGACGCACGGCCTTAATTCAAAAAGGAGCTGGATGACATTCTCGTCTGCTAGCGTTGACGTGTCACCGATATTTCTGTCGCCAGCTGCGATTTTCCTCAGCATACGTCTCATGATCTTGCCGGATCTTGTCTTTGGTAGAACCGGAGCATGTTGGATGACGTCCGGTTGGGCGAATGGGCCGATTCTCTCGCGCACTGTTCAAATCGTACTCTCAGCAAAGCGTGAATATGTTAAACTTTCACGTTGAATTCGGATTAAACTACGTCGACGGTTAACTTAGTCATGAAACACTGGTTTTGTTATTATAAAAAAAAAAGTAAGAAAATTCTCTTATCTTCACTCTCTGTAACTTATATTTAAATTTATTGTCTCAGAGTCGTGTATTAACTGCTTCATCTTGTTAACGTATACAGAATTATTATTTTTTCGAATACTGCTATCGATGGACGACAAATTGCGCAGCTAGAAATCGCTGTCGGTAATTCTGTCGGTTAATCGTCGATAGATTTAATCGGAATTTGCTGAAAGTGATTCGCTTGAATCGGCGAGACCCACCTTTCTTTTTAAGCTCGACCTGCAACTTCTCGTCGAATGTTTTTCCCGCGGTAGGCGTGATGAAACAATAGAGGCATTGGCCTTTGACAGGATGCGATTTGCTCACTACCGCGGCTTCGGCTACCGAAGAGTGTTCCGCCAAAACACTTTCTACTTCAGCCGTCGACATTAAGTGACCAGAAACGTTCAGCATATCGTCGATACGACCGGTTACCCACAAATATCCGTCCTTGTCACGCCTCGCACCTAGAATATAAACGAATAGAGAAATCAGACGTGAATTTGAGATTCTTTCTGTGCCATCAGAGCAGGATTAAGATAGGTCCGCCAAATTATTTTCTTAAGGATCCTTTTGAATTAATTTGAATTTTGAATACTTTTGAATTTCAGTTTTAGTTACATATTGATGGAATACCATCTATATGTCTATAAAATTAGAAAACGATTGACTATTCGGAAGCTGAAATATTCGCAACTGATAATGACATTTTTATACGTATTCCTTGAGGTTAAATATTCTACTTTTAATTTCTTCTATAAATCATATTTAAGAATTTAACGAAAAAACTACTGTGACATTAAGGATTAATATAAAGACATGATACGAAAATTTCAGAATTACTTACCATTTTTTTCATATTGACATAGGAAATTTACACGCGATATATGTACATATATATACATATACGCGATATATGTACATATATATATACATATATTTAAATATTTATAGACCACTTTCTATTTGTGCGCACCTCTACTAATTTAACTGGCGTATAAGTAAATATATTAATAAGGAAAATAAAAAATAAATAATATATCCCCGTATTTGTAATATTGTGCATATATTTGTCTTAATTTTGCTCAAATTTAGCATTTATTATTTCGATATTTAAAGTAAATTATATAGAAAAATATTGTTTAATAAATAATAAATTTATGTAGACCTTAATTCGCCGTTGAAAATCCGACACGGACGAACTTAAGAAGCACGACGCGACTACAATTGTCTCGCCTGAATTCATTTGAACCAAGTTTAGACATTCTGCTGTCTCACCGTCGATCCAAACGTCAAATGTAATTCTCGTCAAAATTGCCCGATTATGTAGTTACCAAAAGTCGAAGCCGAAACAACGTCGCAAAATCCATGTATCCGCGAAACTGAGCAAACGTATAATCCGACAAACACCGCGCTGAACTTGGGGAAAATTTGTCACAAAATGTCATTCAAAAAGATCAAGGCCCGTCAGATATTCGACTGCAGAGGCGAACCGACTCTGGAAGTCGACGTGATCACCGACGTGGGTTTGCTGCGATCATCAGTACCATCCACCGTAGCAATCAACCCGAATCAGGCGATAGAGATCAGAGATGGCAACATGGCAGCTTATCACGGTCGCTCAGTGTTCAAAGCAGTCGATATCGTTAACAATATGATCGCGCCCCAACTGATGAAATCGCAACTGAACGTTTGTCAACAAACAGAGATAGACGCGCTGCTCAATAAGCTAGATGGCACGGATAACAAGTCAAGACTCGGCGCAAACTCTATCCTCGGGGTCTCCATAGCCTGCTGCAAAGCTGGAGCAATCAAGAAAGGTCTCCCGATTTACAGGTATTATATTAATCAATTGACCTTTGGTTCTTAATTTACCTTCTGAATTAGTACTGCATTCTCTGTGGATTTGTTTCGGATGTATTATAAATATTTTAGTTTGCTTCAGGAAAAGGAATGACCTAAAACTGTCGTTTCTCTGCAGGGATTTTCTTTATGTACTTTCATATCATCTTCATTTCGTCTTTATGGCTGAATCTCAATCACACTATATGTTTTCTGTTGACGTCTTCTTGAAATTGTCCATGTTTCAGATATATCGCTGAATTGGCTGAGAACGGACAATTGTACGTGCCTGTGCCAAGTTTCAGCATAATCAGCGGCGGCAAATTCGCCGGCAACAATTTGACTTGTCAGGAATTCGCGATTCTACCTGTAGGTACGTCCAACGACCGAGTATCTCTTCTTATCTTTATCTTATTTTCCTCTCTTGTATTATTTTACTTTTTCTTATCCAATTCGTACGTGTGTGTTCGATACAGGTGCCGAGAGCTTCGCCGATGCCGTGAAAATGGGCACCGAGGTGTATCGCGTGGCGGAGAGGAAAATTGTCGCGGCTCAAGGACTAAAAGGCCCACCGCCCGTCAGTGAAAAAGGAGCCTTCGTACCCGAAATGGAGAATGACAAGGAAGCCCTGGCTCTTTTGAATGATTCCATTACAGACGCGGGCTACCAAGGCAAAATCAAGATCGCGCTGGACATGGCAGCGAGTGCTTTTTACAAAGAAGGTCGATTCCGAATAGAGAATTCATTCCACATGAGTGGAGAGTCACTCGAATTAAAGTGGAATTCTATTCGACGAAATTAAGAGAGAAAGAAAGAGAAAATAATAAGAGAATTCGCGTTTTTGTTCATGCAGGAGGGTACGATCTAGAATACAAGACGGGAGAAACCGATCCTGAAGATTATTTGGAAGCCGAAGCTTTGCGCGATCGATACCTGGAGTACCTTTCGGAATTTCCAGCGATAGTCTCGCTTGAAGACCCCTTCGATCAAGAGGATTGGGAAGGCTGGTTAACTATCGCCGGCCAGGATGTCCAAGTGGTCAGCGACGCCCTCACGGCGATGAACGTCGAGAGAATTTCGGAGGCAATAGACAGGAAGGTGGCGAATTGTCTCGTGCTAAGAATACCGCAAATTGGCACCGTAACCGAGCTGATTAATTGCGCGAAAATGGCGAAGATCAACGATTGGGGTTACGCCGTGAGCGCGAGTCGCGCCGAAACGGAGGACAACTTCATCGCCGATGTGGCGGTCGGGTTGTCCGCCGGCCAAATCAAAGCAGGTGCACCTTGCAGGTAACGATAGCAGCTGTGTATAAAATACACGGGAAGTTCGAATTTTGTTTCCGATGCATTTCCCAATCGATCTTATTCTCATTTGAGCGCCTCGTCAATTACAGGGGCGAAAGAATAGCCAAGTACAATCAAATACTGAGGATCGAGGAGGAACTCGGCAAAGATGCCAGATATGCTGGGCCGAAATATCGGAATCCGCTAGCGAAATAAAAAAAATTAATGTTATCAGCGTTACCAGCTCGAACACAATTCCCGGGACCGATCATAAAGAAGCTAACGATCTTTACCGTCACCCGTGCAGTAAAATCCGTTGAATCGATCGAAATACGTATTTTGGAAACGTTGATGATTGCTATAGAGAGTCCGCATCATGCCCGGCCATGGTCTTCGGAAGACGAGATATCCTTCTCCTTCGCCCTCGATCACGTGACCATCCTCGTCGAGAAGCTCCGGCAGAACTCCGAAGAACGGGAACGTCTGTTCGTGTGTTAGAAGTAAGTTAACCAAGGGAATTATGGGAGAAAAGAGAATCACTTACCGCAGAACCCGGTTTCATAGGCGTCGCACCAGGCAGCGGTGTAATTACATGACCGCCAGTTTCTGTTTGCCAGAAAGTGTCCGATATGCTGCACTTCCCGTGGCCGACGAGATTGTAAAACCAGAGCCAGGCTTCGCTGTTGATCGGCTCGCCAACTGAGCCGAGCACCTGCGCGGGATACAAAATCTCAGTTCTTGCAACTGAATAGAAATCGGACGAAAAAACGAGAAATTATATCTCCAACTGAGAACATTCGTGTGAACATTCGTATTAAAACTCGGTTGAGACAAATGGGAGCAATTAATCGAGTAGAAACTTTCTACAGAAATCTTTCTGTTCCTACAATCGTGCTTTCGTCTAGTGATCAGGCAACACGAATGGATTCAGTTACATCGACAGAATTGTTTTTTCCGTGTAATACACATGTGTCAACCTGTGTGTGACTCTTCGAATCAAACGAGAATTAAATCACCGTGAGACTCACCTTAAGTGTGGATAAGTTGTGTTTCTTTACGAACTCGTCGCCGAATTTCATGAGCGATCTGATGGCCGTCGGCGCCGTGTAAAATTGCGTAACCTTATATTTGTCGATGATCGACCAGTATCGATCGTTGTCCGGATAAAAGGGCGTACCTTCGAACTGTCAACGAACACGAATTACTAAGAGCAAAGAAGAAAACGGAACGCGATGAGCGAGCAATTTAGATTAATCGAACATGCATACGTACTATGACGGACGTCGCGCCGTTCGCCAACGGGCCGTAAACAACGTAAGTGTGCCCCGTGATCCAGCCAATGTCGGCGGTGCACCAATAAACATCGCCCGGGTGGTAGTCGAACACGTACTTGAACGTCGTCGCCGCATAGATCAAGTATCCCGCGGTGGTGTGAAGAACACCCTTCGGCTTTCCGGTGGATCCGCTATAAAAGAAATGATCACTTCAGTGGAGCCAAAAAAATGCATTTCGGAAAAAAAAGAATTCAGTTCCTGCAATTAAATAGAAACCAGACAAAAACTCACTGACAAGAAATGATATCTCTGTTACTGCAACTGAAAACATTCATGTAAATATTCAGCTGCATTAAGACTCGATTGAGATAACTAAAAGTAATTGACCGAATAGGACCTTCCTGTGGGAAGTTCCCACGTGAAGTTTCTATTCGGTCTTTCTGTTTCTGTAGCGAAGTTTTCGTCTGGTTCCCAGGCAAATTTGTTTTTCCCCTTACGTCACCTTCGAAATTTATTGGAATGAAATTCCACTCCGAGTGATACAGTCGCGTCGCTCCAAAGAAGCTTAGAGAATACTAATTCTGTCATTTGCAACTAATTAAATCGCTGTAGCTCATACGAATGCAAACAAGGAGTTCGTACCTTGTATAAAGAATAAAAAGCGGATCTTCGGCAGCCATCCAGACCGGATAACAACTCGCCTCGGCCTCCTCCATTTCGTCATGCCACCAAGCGTCACGGTCGTCGTCCCAGGAAACATCAGGCATCTCCGTAGCGCCGTTGCCGTTGCTGGTACCATTCACTCCATTCATTTTACCTTGGGGAGAGCTGAGCCTCCTCAAATGTGCGACGACGATGCAACTTTCGACCTGGTGGTCTTGTTTCTTGGCTTTTTCCAGAGCCTCGTCGCAGATGTTCTTCAACAGAAGTAACTTCTCGCCCCGCCACACGCCATCCGTGGTGATGAGAACTTTGGCCTTCGAGTCGAGCATGCGTTCCGCTAATGAGTCAGACGAATAGCCTGCGAACTACAATCGTACATTATCTTTTTTCCTATCGGATCATTCTCGTTCCGTCATTCCGACCCGAGTCTTCTACTCACCACCACGCTGTGGACCGCTCCTATCCTTGTGCATGCCAACATCGCGATCGGAAGCTCTAAGATCATCGGCATGTAAATCACCACTCTGTCCCCCTTGGTGACGCCTTTCGACTTGAGGACGTTTGCGAATCTGCATGTTTCCTCGAGCAATTTTCTATACGTTAGTCGTGAGTAATCGTCCGGATCGTTCCCTTCCCTGAAAACAAATCGATTCGAAAATCTTGGCAGTGATGAAAATTCAGGGTCAAAGACGAGCCGAAAGAAACGTATATCGGCCGCACCTCTTGTGCAATAAATCTTGTAGCGCAAAACCAATAGCTAAAAACGCCTGTACATGTAGCAGATTTAGATTAGAATCTTGTTCTACCTGGATACCTACAATTTATATGTACGCAAGATTTAAAGACCTTCGAATAATTTTGTACGTTACCTTGAAAACGGAGGAGAGTCAAGGTTGGGAAAGAACACGTTATGTCATGTCACGTGACATGATATACGTGAATGTATGCCCACAAAAATTCTAGATAAGTATAATTCGCTGATGTATTGAAACATTATCACGAAACAAATTACGATATTATGTAAGACATGGTCTTGCGCATCACATAACATCGTAATTGGCGGTAAGTTAAAGGAGGATTACGCAAATCATGCCGCAAAAGAAAAATACGTTTGGTGGTACTGATTATAATATTATATGATTATAATGTAAATAAGATCACGTTGGAATTTTTCGTGTCAAATAATCGCCAAACACCGTTTAAACGAGCAAGGCAACGATGACGCGCATGAATGATATAAATTATAAATACAAATGAAATATACCAGAAACACAATTAAAATGTTTAACTTATCAAATTAGGGCGAGAGATTTATTATTATTTAACGATGTTACAAATATTATTTAACGATACAAACAACTTGTATTCTTCTCTCCGCAGTATGTATTTCATATTTCAAATATAACTGCGAAATTAGTTAACCCTTTGCACTCGAGGGCTCCGGAGCGGAGCCATTTAAAATTTGTCTTCAAACTCGAAGTAATTGCATTGTCTCTATAGCGGAGCCCTCGAGTGCAAAGGGTTAAAAGTGCTAGTAGTAAAAAGTGCTAGTGATAAAAGGTGGTATGAAATAATATAAAGTGTGAAGACAACCTTCGTCTGTTTATCTTTCTTTCTAAATTCAAGGTAGAACGGTAATCCATATGCATATAATTAACATACTATCTCACACATATGCATGCATATATAAACACACACACATACACGCACATAAATATATCTTATTGTGTTACTATCAACATACAGCTCACAATTAAAGAATGTTTTATTTGTGCCCATGTATTTTTTATAGTATTATGACCAATCCAATTTGTGTGTTATCCATTTTGCTTTTCCTCCTCTTTCGCGCCTTTGTATCATTCGTTACTTCTCGAAAACAAAATGTAAAACATCATTATCCACAGTTTCTTTGCGTTTATAACATTATTTGACTTCATTGTATAGACGAATATTTCTGGCATCTAAAAGCAACTGGGAAAGCAAAGTCCATTCTAGTAAAAATTTTAACACAAATCGCCTGATGTTGCGTCAGCTATCACACGCGAGAGAGCTGACACGATAGCTGACGCGACCGCGTACGATGCCTCGTCGACCAATAAAGGAGCAGGTGTGGACGGTACGTCAACTTTTCAACGAATCGGCGGACGTCACACCGATCACACGACCGCGCAATCGAATCGGTTCCAGTGCCGCATGAAATATCTGTAGTTGTTTGGAGATAGATAAATTATTCATCACAGTTCGAAATCCGCAAAAAACGACATAATTCAGCTGTGGACACATGTTCGCATTAGATTATCATTGATCCGTTACAAATTGGATATGAAATATGTATGAGGCATGATATCGCAAAAAATGCCTAAACTTTACATTTTCATTAATCTTATTGCATATTTACATGGACATATATATCTATGTGTGTGTGTATGTGTTTTTATATGCGCATGTATATGTATATATTATGCATACTATTTGCTGAGACTTTTACTACTCGTTCTGCAAATACTTTGTACATTGTTAGAGATCGATGGAAATATAAAAATAAATAATACGAATTGAATGTCGTCAAAATAGTAAACCAAAAAATACATCAATTCTACGTACAGTAACGTAAGTACAGTTTGAATGACTTGCTGAATATTTACGAGCCGAGAATATATTTTGCATGGAAAATATGGAAATGAGCTATCCAACTGCAACCAGTCGGCTTATTACTTCAGATTTTACTGTTGCCGAATTCGAGCCGCGCCATCTCATGCAGCACAAACTTTCAAAGGACTTCCTAAAGATGTTCAAAATTCTATCCCTATGTTTTAAGGACGTCCATAAGACGGATATCATGTGTGCCGGGGATCCTACAAATCTGCGATTTATTCTCCGTTATATCTTACCAGTAAAACGCAATTTTATCGCCGTTGCCGCTCTTCACATTCTTATCCAGCAAATTGAAACTTATGTTCGTTGATGCTCCTTCCATCCATTTTATAAAAATATCACCTTTACTTAGCTCGAAATTGTATGAGAAGAACTTCTCTTCTATCGCCGGCGTTTCCCAGTAAAATTGCTTGGCGATCTCGCTCCAAAATTGCACCGGATTTTTAATGGATCTAAATAAGGAAGAAAAGCGAGTTCGTATCAAGCTATCGCTTCTCGATAACCTCCTATCACTCCCTTCTCGACAAGAGTTAAAACAATCGCCATTCGGTCATTCTTAATTCATACGTAAACATTATTAAAAGTTAAACACACGTCACGCATAACGATAGAAGCCGGTAGTTTCATATTTAATGAATCGATACACGTCTTAATTCTTACACAACGACTTTCGTCCTGCTTTATTTACAAATTTATGCGCATTCGACGAACGGGAATTGCGTAAGAACCTGTAATTTACATTATTACTTTCTCATTAATTTCACCGGATGACAAGTGGGTGAATCCGAAATTACGAAATTACTAGCCGCGAAGTAACACCCCAGCTGCAATGATGTTCTAACGAACTACCATCCCCCTTCGATATTGTACCGCTCGAGATTTTGATTTTTGTTCCCACGGGAATCTACACGAGGCATTCAAAAGGCTAATCGAATCGACCTGAGATGACAAGTCGATATACATCTAAAAGAGGAATAGAATAGACAATAGGTCACGAAGGATTCAATTAACGTAACAAGGAAGAATAACGGAAGAACGTTTCTTCTATTCGTTTCGCGAATTTCCAGCTGTCCACGCGTGGCAGCGATGTCCTTAAACGGGAATTTCGTCCCACCCCATGGGATCGATATCACGCTTCGATTTGTGCTCTTTATAGAACGCGTAACGTCCGAGTCACGCGTAAAATCGAGATGAATTTCAACGTCCGGAGCATTATTACCAACTTGTCTCCAATTGAGCCCTACGACATCGCGGAAAATACGACGACGTTTCCGTCTCTGAAAATAACCGGCATCGCGTTTATCTCCTTTAAGCAGATTTGCCACGGTCATCCTTTTGCTCTTTTATCGCCGATCATTAACGAGCCGCGACTAACAAGCTACCGTATGAATATGCGTAGTAATCTGAACGATTATGGTGCGCCTATATTGGTTCCGCTTTTCGCAACATTTATGCGTCGCTCCGACGCACAGTTCGTCGGTGTGTCAACCCTCGATTTGTCGTCCTGATACACGTCTTTCCCGCGACGAGTGACGCGCGGAAATTTTTCGCGAAATCTATCCACTCACCTCTCATGCATTTGCTTATATTGCTCCATGCTACCACAGTGAGCTGTCTTCACGAGCTCCGGATTGGGGTAGTATATTCTATCCGCCATGTTTCACCCTTGTCTTTCGTCGGGATACTTTTCGAACAGATAACAACAGTGAAGATAAGGGGAAAGATGCCGCTGAGACGCTCTACTTTCCGAAAGTATGATCCGTAATATCCTAACACGCTTCGTGGAAACGTCCAAGTGGCAGTCGAATTCCTACCGGTCTGACTGATAAAGCGCGACTGTCCCACCACGCGATGAGCGCACACGGCACGACCCTCCACGGAATGACGACAGAGTAACGACGACGGATTGCACGTCCGACCGTACGGCGCATCGCGACAGGTCGATACCGATAACGCCTCCTCACCTGGTTGTGTAACCATAACGACAGTCCTTCATTGCTTCCAATTGACAGACTATTTTGTAATTATTAATTTATCGAATACGCCTCGACTGAATTGAGCAAGGGGATACGAAGAACCTTGCTGCTTACCTCGCTCTCAAGTTCGCTAACATCACGGACATTTTCATGCACGCGCCAAAAACGGTCGATATCTCGATCGATAGTTTTGAATATTCGCCAATGAGCGCTTTGAACGATCGATTTGATTTGAACGTCGCGATCAATAGAACCGGCGCGAGCAGAAAGTGATGCCTTTCGCCTGGTGGCGTTACTATCAACCGTGACTTCGGAATATTCGATGAATTTCGACATTATGCAAGATTCACACTGCATCAAATCCAACGTCGTCTGATATCCAATAGGAGGAAACCTTTCCTAGAAACAAAACTATTGCTAGCTAGGGACCTTAAAAAGTGAAGTCTCCTATTGGATAGCGGACCGTCGGATGCAGTATGAATCCTGCATTAGGAGTACTCCACCGATAGCCAATCTGACGGGACTCGTCGTACGACCAATGAAATGTTAGCCTTTGAATGTGGAAACCGCTAATGTAATCACAATAATCGAACGAAAGTAGGGTTAATCGCGAACATTACTTCAAGTTTATAATACGCAACAAAAAGACTAATATGAAATTAAATCGTTACTTGAAATATCGTTAACACAAAAATTTAACGCATAAGTATTTATTCTACGTTAACAATTGACTTTCCAATATGCACCGTCAAATATACGATGTCGAAGAGGAATTTGAGCCAAGAATTACACCGAAACCGATAACAAAACTCGATGTAAGACACTTTAAAATAACCTAATAAAGAGCACAATTCAATATTTTTTTTTACAATTTTCTTTATTCTTTTAAAATAATCAGTCTACAAAAGAAAGCCTGATACTTTTATAAACAATCTATTATGTACAGTAATCATAGAACAATTGTTTAAAAATTTTTCAGCATTTTGCTGTACCAAGTGTTCCAGAAGTATCATTAATCTTTGAGAAATCTACACAAGCAAGAAACCTAATTGATGGAGATGTTAGTTCATCATCAGCAAGAATAACAAGATCAGTGCAACATTCTAACAAGCCTATAGAACACATTAATGTCACATCACCAAATTCAGGCAATCAAAACTTGTATACAGTTAATTCGACATCATCGAGTTCAGACAAGCATTCGACATCACCAAGTTCATATACAGCATGGAAAGAGCAGATTTATTCTAGAGAGAACAATTATGTAAATACAAAGCTTGTTTCACCATCGTGTAAAAATATTTATAGCTATAATCAGGCATCTCAGTTTAATATACAAGATGCTACTGTGCAGAAGCAACAGGAGCAAAGTAAAATCTGCGATACTCAGAACAGACTGACAAATACAAGACTTAATGATGGAACGCATGAGAAGAGCGTGAAATTTAGATGTTCTGATATGGAGAATTCTCATGATCACGAACATGAGACTCAGCTGCAATCTTCTGACAGACAGTTATTTTCTTGCAATCCTGTACAGAGAGCGACATGTGTGACTGATTCCGCTATAAGAATGCCCAGCAATGCCTTTGTGGATGCTTTAAAGCAGAATGAACATCTCCAAATACCATATACGTCATGTCCATATCCCTTTCAGCAATTTTATACACCTAGTTACTCAAGTCGTGACATGGACAATAATGAAACGGTAAAGACTTTGTTGCAGCTTGTAAACAGTCAAAGCGAACAGATTAAAACTTTGCAGCTGCAAGTGGACAGGCTGGTGAGACTACAAGAGGAGAGTTTTCGAAACAAATCGACATGTGCCTGTTCGTCGTCGCACGCGAATCAAGTGTTCGGCTACTCAGCCATAAATTGTTACGACGCTGCAAATAGCCGCGCGCAATCGCAGAATCAAGGCGTGAAGCAAAACGCGGGACAAGCTTCATCGGTTGCAGAAAACAAGAAGCCGGGAAACACCGGCGAAGATAAAGACAGCGGTAAATTGGAAGTGGCATTATTGGAACAGCAATCGAAGAAAACTTTTGTGGAGCAGAAGGTCTCCATTGGCGTCATGACGAGTTTCGAATTCACCATGCAAAACAGTCCGTTTTTGGTGGATTCCGAGATGTACAAAGAGAAGGAGACTTCCGCAGGAGAGAGCAACGGTATTAACAGAAGGAACAATCCCGTAAATATGCACGACACATCGGAGCCTGTTAAAAGATACAAGAATGCATTCACACGCAAACCCGGGACAGCGCAATTGGAGAACATAGTCGAGGACACGGAGAGCTATTTGTCCTCTAGCCACCAGCAGAGCAGCAATTTCAACGCGAGTTCTTCCGTGAGGGATTCAGAGATGCATCTTCCGAAGCAACCAGATCTGTACAACACGACCAATACCCCGGAATCCCCAAAGATGTATCGGCGTCTCGCTACCGATCTCAATCGAGATCTGAATCGAGAGAAAACACGCGAAAGAGAGATGCGCATGAGAGAAGGCAGCAATACGGACGAGCAAGCGCAAAGTACGAGAATAATATCGTCTAGGAACGCGGGCAGCCCTATGGATGCAAACTGTAATAAAGCATTTGCCGTCAACGATTACATCGCGACGGATGGAGAAAAAAACGACGATGAGAGGACGCATGCCAACAGACATAATTCGCCCAACGTCCACTTGCCCGCAACGAATTACTATCAAAGCCACAGAAATAAGGAGCCAATGGCTAATGTTAGAGAAGCGAAGAATGTGGGTGACAGCATAGTATTGAGCGGAGGAGATTTCAGGGTATTCGAGAGACCACCGACTCCGGAGCCGAGTATTCACGTGGAGATGCAGGAATATCCGAGCGACGACGAAAGCGACAAACTCAAGCGTACCTCGAAAATAGGCTGGACTTTCTACAACAACGTTTTGGGACAGGTCAATGAGATTTTACAAAATTCCGCTGTTATAGAGGATAAGGAGCATCACGAGGCTACTGCGGCTCGCAGGGTCGAACAAGAGGATGACACAGCGTTGAACACTGTTAAAGCAACTACTTTGGAGCAACTTCGAAAGCTCGGGATCAGTATAACTGACAATGAAAACAGAGAGTTACCGAACGGTAACAATAAGACGTACGTATCTCCACTTGTATCAGGATCACGTTGGATACGTATAATAACAGGATTTCCTTTTAAGGTTGGACTTCGATTCGTCTTATTATCCTCGTTTAGACCGTCAGGCAAACATGACCCATGCCACTAGTGTCGTAAATGAAACAAACACCAGTATGCATATGAAAGCATTAGCGCTGAAATATTTAGGTGACGAAGAGCTAACCGACATAGCGCTGCACAAACAAGGATCGTCCTCCTTGAAACATCTTATGCTCAGCAATATGCAAGGGACCAACATGTCGTTCGCTACGATGCGCTACTTAGAAAGATATCAGTTGTTGCCGGGACGGAATCAGGACGTTCAAACGGAGGGTAAGTATAATCTCGTGGTACTAATTGATACAAATTAATGTGAAGTTATGTAAAAATCTTACATCACGAGTATTAGTACTTTGTGCTTAATTCAGTGCGCTGAATGTATTTATTTGTTCTCCAGATACCGGTCAGGTGTACAATGAAGTGGCACCTAAACGCGATTTTAAAGCAACGACTGGGAAAAATAATCCCGCGCTGCGTCAATTCCCTTTTGTACAAACACCAGGAACCACATGTCCCAGCAGGATATTGGACATTTCAACGTTAAAACGACAACCGAAATTGTTGTAAATTCTAGATCAAATTTCATACTTTTTCTATTCGAGTAATATATTTTATAAAAAGAAAGACTAAGTCGGTATATCGTTATTCGTGTGATAAATCGGCTGTAGACGCGGAATATCAATAAACATAATCCTTTGTACGTTCCGTTCTTTGTGCGATTTTTATAAAAAAAAAAAACACTACATATCACTTGTTTTTACATTTCCTATTCCGCCCCTGCGATGAGAGCAACTATACCACGTATCTCTGTGAGATAAGTGCGGAGCCACGTGTTTCCGTAAATGCGCATGCGCGTGCCAACGACGCCATCATCTGACACCACCGGCCTGTCGCACGTTGATTACGGCGAGTCTCTCAAATGCCCCGAAGCAATTGCGTAAAACGGTAATTTCACAGTTTCAAGGTAAATTGAATTTAATAACTGTAAGATATCACCCTTTGTTAAATTTTATGAAGCAATATTTCAATATGTATCGTGAGAATACTCTTAATGTATGTGATATAACCTGGAACTAACATGGACTGTTTACTCTTCCAGATGATCACAGACGTACAATTAGCGGTGTTCTGCAACATCTTGGGAGTTACACTGTTCTTCTTGGTGTTCCTCTTCCATTATATAAATGCAAATTATTCGAAATGAGGAATGGAAAATTGTCACTCGAAATTTATTTAACACTATCTTCGTTATTGGATTGAGATAATGACATACTATATTCCTCCTACATTGATGATCACACAGTCCAGTAAATGTGTCACTTTGCAGTTGCAGATATCAGAATACCTCATTCATATGTGGCACAATAAGTAAGAAGCATTCAATCTTTTTCCCATGTTGCGTAAAGAGTTTCTAGAAAATAAACTTTATATCATGGTTTAAAACATTGCGTTTTATTGTTGACGTACATTTTATTTTTAAGGTATGTGATTGGATAAAGAAACGGTCGATAGAAGTAAACTGTAATGTTTATGTTTTAGAATAAGAATACAATCATTTATATATATAAACTCTCATATTATATATATATATATATATATATGTGAAGTCTTGTAAATAGCTAGGGTAAACTCATCAATCAGTTTTAATTGATGCCTTAGTACAAGCTTGAAATATCAATCCATTTCTCACGTCACCAGATTACCATATTGCAGATTGAATATCTAAAGGTGACCGAAGTACGGTTTGTAAGTTCTTGCAGAGCTCAAGAGTGTTTCAAGTATTTCACGCTTGATGCAGAAGCTGCAAATATTTGCTTGGAAATAATTCTCAAATTATGAGATTGATACATTAATTATAATTAAACACATTATACAATCACGTCGAATGCTGCTTTTGTTTCCCCACGAAATGCTGGAGAATGCGAAGAGGAGAGAAAAGTGGGAGCAAATCCCACCTTTTATTAACATATAAGGTGTAGCTGTATGTGGTAGGGGGCTGTCGTAATACGCGTTGAAACAGCACTCGAGCTTCTTCAAATGTGGATTCATTTGCGTCACGTACGTAAGCTTTGCGAGTACTTTAATTTTGCGTTAATGATCGTGCGAGTGCCGTTTTGAGTACGTGCCGAACACGTGTCGCGGTTTTGCGACCGGACGCGCACATTTAAAAGAAATTAATCTGTATTTTTAAATACGTCACCACATACGAAACAATATATTCGTGTCATCGTAAAACAAAAGCTTAAAATAACATTGCAAAAACTAGTTTCACGTGCTTATCACCGTGCTTATCACCGAGCGTATTTGTTATCTCCGGTTGAATATCGTTTGCACGATTTTAAATAAATAGGTTGTTGATATTCGACTCGAATAACTCGTTTTACAGTTTCAAGTCAACAGTCGGCCGGACGCGAGGGAAATCATGAGTGAGTTAGAAATGAAGAAGTAATATGTGTTACGATCACCGTTCCAAATACCTCGCACTCAGCCACATAATCGCGGACAGAATTGACAGGATGTTGTTCATATTCGCGCTATTTTTTTATGTGATTACCGTTCATGGGTTCATTTTTCAAGAAGCTCTGCAGGTCGCTAGATGCCTGACGCTATGCCGAAATGTGAGTAATAAGATTCAGGCACTTTTGCTCGTCATAATGCGAACATCTGCGCCGCGATGCGAACTCTCAATCGAGCAAATGGGGTAAATCGGAGACGTGTAATCATAAGCTGTTCCTGTCGTCCAATATTTTACGCACTTTTCTTTTGAATAATTCGACACGCCTATGAGTTTGAACTCAAAAATTTAATTTACAACAGTTTATGCTAGAAAATTTTCTTTCTAAAATATGTCGACAGTGCAACATAACGTGATTTTATATCGACGAGATAACGTTGTAAAAATTCGGAGGACTTTGCGGCGATAGCGAATATAAAATTCAATGTATGTCGCAGCGATATCGAGATAGGAATGCCAGACAGAAATGACACCTAACAAGTATATATTTAATAAACAAGCCGCTCAGAGGTATATATTCGTATCTTTCGTCTTGCCGGACTTGTTCGGCAAAACAAGTTGCAGTTATAAAATAAAAATGCGAGACAATCGTCTTGTTATCTAAATGTTATCTAAAGAACACATGACAGAGAGTGTGGTGGTGATGAAAAAAAGGAATGGTTTTTATTTACCAGATACTCCAAGTCGAACGATGCTCGAATATATCTTTCCCAAAGAGTAACTCGGCTCTTGACAGACCTTGCTCGAAACTCACCCATGTTGAAACTATGTCTGTTTTATAGAGACACGAAATAAACATATGTTCAACAACACTGGATACATTTTAGATCTTCGTTTCGACACCTGTCAACACCTGTGTCAATATCACTCAAACATTAGCGTATACGCGTGCCGTACTCGATCTGGCTGCAAAAGCGATATTGCATACTTACTGTTATTTTCCAACGTATACGTCACAGAAGCGTAAAATTCTAATATTTAACAACGTCACGACACCGTCGGCCACCACGTGATATTAATATAGACCGTAATATTGTATGAAGTGCATTGCGATACTCTGACGGACAGTGCACGCAATTATAAGTTAAAGCGGATAGTAAATAAGCAACTATATTGAAGGAGAAAAGTACTGCGAGGCGGCAGACAGTAGAGGAGACAGTAGACTGCATAATACATGAAGCGGGTTCATACGTATTTATCTCCTTTTGAGCACCTGCGGAAGGTCACTTCTGCGATCCAGATTATAGAGTCTCTTAACGGGTTCAACTAATTGAAAACCGAGAGACTATGCTATGATGATGGCGAAAAAATGTCTCGGATAAGCATGAATTTCTGAAAGACGTCTTGAAAACGTCCGAAAAATGTGAAAAGCATGCCTTTTAGACGTCTTTTGGAAATTTGTGCTGGCTGGGTTTTATCGTTTGGGACGAGTTTCATTTGAACGATTAGCCGTACATTCCCCGCGCGTCGAAATTTCGGCTCTATGTTAGATCTTTAATTCTACAATACACAATATAAGAGCTAAGATGGCGAAATAAGTTCATATATATATAATTTCAATTCTAATAATATGATTTACTCTTACTTTAAGTCCGATGATCTGAAATTTCCGTCCTCGCTGTTTCAGCGCCAAAATATAACGACGTCATCGTGTTTGCTGGGTAGATTGTTAAAGTAGTATTAAAATTAAATCTGCAGGATTAAAAATTCAAAAGAAAGAAGTTAACGAATGTCAGTATCGTCAAAGCAGGTTTTTATTAGTCTATAGGCCGTCTAAGTCATCCTTGGGAATGTCAAAGTAACATTAAACTTTCAATTCGTTCTGTGCAAAAGCCTCTATTTACCTGTCGCTTGCTGCTGACCAAGTCGGCGATATACATAAGACAACGTATAGGTGCATACGTAGTGGACCAGACGCGACTCACCAGACAAACGCATACTCATAATGCTCCCGACAGGATTCTGTAATCTGATCGCGACATCCTGTGTTTTTATCACGATTATCCCGTTGTCTTGCCCGAGACTCGAGGTACGTTGAGACGATTTGCAATCGATGCAGAGCTCGATTTTAGACGCGTGATGCAAATCAAACCAGCCGTCACCCTCGCGACCGAGACATTGCGGTATATTTTAGGTATCATTTAAAGATTTAGGGTGTGTGCGACGGATGTGTGTCGATCGTGTTCGTATAGCGCGCCCGGTTGGTTCAAAAATACATCGCTGAGTATTTGCCAATGTGTACTAACGAAATCTCCTGGTGTGTATGTACGTGTGTGTTATTGTTATTCCTATAGCATCAGCACAATGCTTTAATTGTCGAGTCGTTCGATAACATTTCAGAAAATTAATATTTCGGCAAAATAAGTCAAAAGAGATAGAATACATTATTTCGCGGTATGCTCTACCATATGATAAAAAGAAAATGATTTGTCTCGTTTCAGGAATCATGCCGGAATAATTGCCCAAGACCTGCGGACAAATTTGCGCGTAAGTTAAACGTTCGATCTGATGTAACAGAGAATCATGAGATAATTAATAACCGCGCGTCAAATGTGTTACAATATACGGAACTGTCTTACGATAGCTTATCCGAAAATAAACGAAGAGGCTGGCGCAAATATTAGTCTGCATTGCAAGGGGTCAAATGCGCTGATGATCAAACACAATCCCGGAATCTATGTTATCGAGCAGAGCGCTTCTAACGGCACTTCGGACACGACGATAGTGGTAAATGTTTGTGGCTGAAACAACACGACTATTTGATTCAGAAGTCTTTTCCCACAGAATACACTTGTCGGAATATTTTCATATAAAAACTAGCTTCGTTGCTCACACTGTTTGTTCAATGTTTTTGGAAAAAAACTTTTGAATCGACCTGTTTTATAACACATTACAAAGTAGATTTCTTTCATAGAGCGTCAACGGATTATCGACATTCTTGAACTTGACGGCGAGCACGTTTTATCGTTATCGTTTTCACAGAGTAACACAGCGCGGAGTGTCATTAGCCGAGACGTCCGATTGGTTTTCAACTTACGCAGGTATCAATTCCTTCAAGTCGAGAGACTTGGTCACTTCGTTCTCATTTCTCGCTGTATTCATATATATTCGTGGCTTGATTCGCATTGCGATCGATCCTCATAACGAGGACAGTTTAATTGATATTTGCAGTTGATTATCAACCACGCGCAGTTAAACACATCTCACTACTGAAGATCGAAGTGGAAGGAAAAAATCCATGCGAGCTACGAGCGGAAATTGTTTTTCAGCCTGCCGAAGGTAAGCAGTACTTAACAATCTTAATTCACATTTCTCACGCATACAAAGCAATTACGTTATTTTAGACCGAAGCTGTAACTACAATATATTATCTTGGTCAGGGGAACATAACTTGATCAATTTTAATATGGAGAAGGTGAGAGAAATTGTCATATTGATACGACAGTCGTCGAGCATTAATGATCACATATCTTCCTCAGATTTTAGACTTCCGCTTCTTTCTCAGACATTTACGATACAACCAAAATAACACCGTGTCGGTCGTATCCGGTAACGATGACTTCTCCAAGACTAGCAATACGACGACGTTCACTTTTCCCACACCATCGTGCTTGGAAGTCCACAATAACTTGAGTATTTGCGGTGAGCCATTGGAACCTTGCTAAAGATAATTGATTTGTTTCGTAGCAGCTGAACCAACATTGTATTGTTACAAATGCATAATAATCGTATGAAAATTTTCCCGACTGTAGCGCCCGAAATGGTGAATGGCCTGCGAGCAAAATATGTTCAAAGACACAAAGGATCGTACGACATCACAGTCAGCTGGAACGAGCCCGCTCTGCAGCCCGATAATTACACGTTACAAATCGACTCGTTCCAGTTCGAACCGCATCTATTGGTTATACCCGGAGTAAGCACTATCGTAGTAACGCATAGCAAACAACTGAGAACCTCCTAAAGTCGTAAATTTGAATCTTCTTGCAGAATGCGGTCGAAGCTCTCTTCTTGGACGTTGACGTAGGGCCACGGTATGATGTCAGTATCGTGGCGGAGTCAGCAGGCGGTATTAGTCTGCTCACAAGCATATCAGAGAGCATCGAAATAGCAGGTAGGTATCACGTTAAATAGATTTTGCGTAATGGTTATCTTCGAAATATAAGTGTCAACCGCATTAGTCTGTCTTTTTTTCTATTGCTTTCTTTTTTTAATCTAAAGAGCTTTATTACAGTGCATTTGAATTTTCTTTAATAGTTGTGGAATTATCTTATCGCGAGATCATTGTGGCATTACCGACGTTACTGATAATCGCGGTGGTGTTCGGGATCATTTGTATGCAGCGTCGTAACAGGAAGAGTAAGCAAACTAATATGGAATATATGCACTTCGAGGTGAGTTCACCGATAAAACGCACACGACATTCACGCGTTTGTTGATATTTGTGCAAACGCTTGAATAATTATTTCCTAATTGTCTGAAGTAGATTTAGGGACTTATCTGCTCCACAGGATTCTACGGATTCTCTGAAGAAGCCTTTGAAGCGAGACTACGCGATCGAGACTGGCGATGCTCTTCTGTCGCATGATAAGTTCGAGATCAGTCCGCAACAACTGAAGTTGAAGGACGTATTGGGCAGCGGGGCGTACGGTGTCGTCAGACTTGCTACCTTACAGGATGAGTTCGGTAGTGTTACTGACGTAGCTGTGAAAATGATGAAAGGTATCATTATGATAATAACACACACAAGAGACGTTAAAGAAATTATGTATGGAAGTATATAGCGTAATAATAGAATATGGATAAACGCGCGATGTTGACCTTGTTATGTAGATGATCCAACAGTGGAGGATATAAAGAGTTTCCATCAAGAGATTTCAATAATGAAGTCAGCCGGACAGCATCCGAATATAGTTTCTCTGATTGGATACTGCACTTTGTACAATAAACCTTTACTAGTGATAGAATACTGCAGCAAGGGAGACCTACAAACGTACTTAAGAATGGTGAGCATACATAAGACAGAAAAGTGTAGTTAGTTTCGTTCGTAGTCATTCATTTTGACTCGTCGTGTACAAAGGTAGAACCATGTTTGTGTTCTGTTGGAATTTCAATTTCAGATTTGGCAGAATTTAGTGAACGCCGTATTCGAGCGTAGGACGCGTTTGAATTTCGTTCCAGTGACCTTCGTCAGTAAAGGCACAGATCAAGGTTTGTGATAATAATCGCATAATTGTGCGTTATATGAAAATGCTCAGTTGAAAATATACTCTTTTAATAGAAATTCATATTTTTTGTGCAGGAAAAAGTGATCCTTACTGTAACAAAGTACGCACCATCACAAATCGCTTGTACGATATTCAACAAGGTAAATCATCAGCTTCAATTCTTCAATCCTTACTGTATATGTACATAATGTAAATAATATACGTATTTTTATAGACGTGATAAAATACACGGAAAATGTCACCTGTGCTGATTTGCTAAGTTTTGGCAGGCAAGTGGCTACCGGAATGGTAAGAAATAGTAATCTATTTCGCACACATAATTATACGTTACGCTTGCACATTGTGCGTTTTATACAAAAGACAATAGATTTGTATTGTTTTGCTGAGACAATGATGCTGTTAGATTTTACATCAGTAACTCGACACTTTCTCAACTCTGTTGTCTGCTGACAAATCAGATGAATATTATCTTTAGGAATTTTTATCTTCTAATCGGATAGTGCATCGTGATTTGGCTGCTCGTAACGTGTTAGTACGACCGGACAGAGTGGTGAAAATTTCAGATTTTGGCCTCAGTCGTGATATCTATCAAGAGAACGTTTATCGAAAGAAAGGAAATGGTAAACTGCCATTAAAATGGATGGCGATTGAGGCTCTAACGCATCAAATATATACAACTTACAGTGATGTGTAAGTCTGAAATGGCACGCATGCATTCGTTTGGTCATTTGCTACTAATCTCAATTTACAGATGGGCTTTCGGCATTTTGTTATGGGAAATTGTCACTTTAGGCGCGATGCCGTATCCCGGTACTCCTACAAACAGAATTTTGCAGCTTCTCAAGTCGGGATACCGTATGGAAAGACCACCAAACTGTGGCAGAGAATTGTATGTACATATTGATATATGAAACAGATTCGTAATTCTCAAGTTATCGCCCATCAAGTTTCGTCTTTTGTTGCTTCAGGTACAATATAATGTATTCGTGTTGGAATCTGAGACCTCAAAGCAGGCCTACTTTTACCGAATTGAAGCAAAGCTTGGACAAATTACTCAGTAATTATTCGGAAAACAAATATTTGAATTTGTGCGAAGTTCTGCAAGAATCAGCCGATGAAAGTAGCGAGCCAAGATCAATAAACGCGTGTTAATAGAGTTAGTAATAATAGAGGCGTAAGTATCACGTAACAGTCATCGTGTCGACCATCTTATCGCCCAGAGAATTTGTACCGTGTGCAAAATCGTTTATTTTCTAATCTCATACATACAATAATCTGTGGTATAATTCCTTTCCTATACATATGTGTGTGTATATACAGTATGTAACTCACAAAAGAACTCAGAGATAAATATGTCAACTTAATTACCTTAGTTCTTGACTCTAAGTGAATCATTAACAAAATGTTTATACACAGTATAACGCATCATATGCAAAACTGTTCATTCATTCAATACATGTTTTTTTTTGCTTTGTCAATTTCGTTCGTTTCTTCTAGAAAATACAAAATCGACGAGTCGTGTGTAGATAAAATATTACTGATTATATATCTCTCAATATGAAACTTAGATAAGTCTAACTTAGAGCACCTAAAACATAGAGATTTTAATGTTTAACCCTTTGCACTCCGCTGTCGCCGTAGCGGCGACATGGTTGTTTTGCTGCCTCGGCACTTTAAGAAATTTTAAGTCCTAAAATTTATGTTTTTCTTTTATAATATAAGTTAGAATATGTTTTGTTATAAAATAGCTAAGAAATAAAAATTTTGTTTTATTGAAACGACTCTATTTTTCTTCTACATCATAGGTATGTACTTGGAACTAATAGCCTCTATGCATTACTAGGCTGGAGTGCAAAGGGTTAATACATAAACTAACGCGAATGTAATCGCAAGTACGTTTCATGTAAACATTATCGCAGAAACGTTTCCTTTCGCAATTTGGTACTCGAAAAACGACTCGTCAATCTTAAATGCAAAATGCAAAAATATATAATCGTTACATGGCAAGGAAAGAGTATTGTAATTTGCGTCGTACTGTAGCATGTAAAATCTTTCGATGTCATTTCCGTGTCGCTCTTTTTATTAGTGTAATACGTATACTAGTAATTGAATACTAGCAATTGATATGAAAAAGAGACACCACCCAAGCAACACAAACGTTGAAACGCAAAGACGTTTAAACGTCTTTTGATCTGTTGTGCTGTTTGGACGCCTACAAATAGATACTACTCCATTGAAGAATCCCCTCTGTAGTATCACCAGATGTTATCACTCTTTGTACAATTTGAAATTTTCTGATAATTATGTAAATGTGTAATTTCTAATCAAAACGTGCAACATTTCCTTAAAATAATAGAAATACAAACTCAGGAATATTCTTCGAAAAAATCTTACTTCGTTTGTGATATTAAATATCCTGCGATTCTCGGCGATTTAATAATAAAATTACGTATATAATCGAAAAATTGTTAGAAAGGTCATAGAAAAATTTACATATTATATAATTAGAACGATATAAATAGTATATTCTTTTTAATATTAAAGCATACAATAATGTATTTTTCCAGATAATAAATAGTATATATGTCGCGTCCATTCTTTTTCGGAACTCAAAATACGTTTGAACTACCATTACCGAAAAATATTACAGATCTATAATCGTGATTTAGAATGGCAATATTATAACTGCATGTACACAAGTTTTTAATTCCGGCGATAGAAATTTAATAAACCCATGTATCGTTAGCTTTTGATCGTGTATAAATGGATAGGGATTTTCTGATTCTTTAGTGTTAATAACCGCGCCTTCCTAGAGATGTAAATTTCGCATAAGTACATTTTTATACTTCCGACTGATTGGAATGTGACCACTGAAAAATGTGCTTTTACAGTGACGAGACTCAGAACGCAGAAACGTTTTCTTTCGCCCGGCATCTTTCGTTACGTCTCCGTCACAATCAATATGCTATCACAGAGAAAGTTGTTGCGTTACTACATATGAATTCTTGTTGGATGGTTTTTTTTTCATTTGTTTTGATTTTACTGCAAATCATTACGCAAATCGTATCCATGGTTCTCGAAAATCTTTACATTCGAACTCATATCCTTGATCTTGTTAAAAAATAAATCATTTTGCGATATCTTATGTTACGTATCGATATTCTTAAAGATATAAGGATCGATTAACACATTTCTCTCATCGATTTATTAGTATTGATCTTTCCTAAAGCCCCAAAAATCCAAATGGAGATTCAATTAGAGCGCAATTAAACTTAACAGTTTGGATACGACGATAGAATAACGTTAGCCGGTCGACGAAAAAATACTAGAAAAGAAGAGTAAGTAGTTTGCAGTAACGTTACTCTGAACCAAGCTTAATTAATCGACAATTGCATCTTTATTTATACTTTCTTGTAAAAAAAAAAAAGAAGTCAATTTCGAACGTCTCAGACAACATATATTATCGATTCCAGTTTTCTTTTTTTTTTAAGCACCTTGCGCCTTGAATCCGCAAGTGTGAAATTATTTCGCACCAGAAACATAAAGTGTCACATCGCGGCCGGATAAATATGAGATAAAAATCTGTTCGACTGTCTTGGAATATTACGATCTTACTATACACGTATGTTGTCTTAAAGACTGGCGATTGAAGCTTTATGGCTACGTTGCTACCGTTTATATAAATGTAATCAAAGAGAACGAAGTATCATATGGTAATCTTAACGCAAGGATTATACAACAGAAACATATTATTCGATTAATAAATTTCTTTCTTTAAGAAGCCAAAAATCACAGACAATATAGTCTCTATACCGGCATCATTTACCGATAGGAATCTCAAGTATTGACATCCTTACTGCCTTTTGTACCACTTACGATGCTACCTATATCAGATGCTGTCGTTTCTATTAATTAAACTATCTTCCTTATCAACCGGCGGTGGGCCCGTCGTCAGAGTTGTGCTCGGCCCTGCTGTTAAGTAACCGGCGGATACAGGAGTGCCAGCTGATGAGACAAACGATTTATAGAGATTTAGTAATTAGCTGAGAACGTCACAACCGTTTCTTACCTGTAAGGTAACCGGAACTGGTATTATTAGAAATGAACAAGTCGTGCCGCTGATCCTTATACTCCGCCCATACGCTCGACTTTTCCAAGATGGCGTTCACTTTCTCGCCGAGCAGCAGACTCCTAGTCATGGCTTTCAAGGCTTTTACTATTTGCGCTTTAGTCGTGGCGGGATTCTCAACAATATCCAGTCGTCCCTCCAATATATTCAAGAGATATGGTACCATCTCGGCATCCAGCGCCTATGCAAATAATGAGAATGAGAACATGTTTCCGTTTCACCTCTCTTTCGCGTACGCACCTGTTTGATAAGTCTGTCCTCATTCGTCGAGAATAATCTATTCAGTGTCTCGCATGCTACCGCTATCATGTCCTTCCTCGATTGCATCGCATGCTTCAACGGGCTTATACATTCCGTTTGACATATAGACGAGATACAAATCTACGTGGATGTAAAATCGAGCAAGTTAGAGAGCATAGCTACACACCGGCGACACGCCAAGAGCAACTTACTTCACTCGTAGCCAGCTGATGTAGAATCAGTATAGCCGTCTTGTACACCGACGGCTGACTGTTTTGGATGGCCATTTGTCGGCAAAGTCGTGGTATGTGACCCAAGGATGGTACTTGGTCCGCCAAAGTGGGTTGCGCTTGGAGCAGACACACAAGAGCCTGCGTCGTTAATTCCAGCATATCCGTCTGGTTAATCAGAAGTGCGAAAAAATAAACGTGTAAATAAATAAGGAGAGGCAACATTCCCCCCTCCCTTTTGCAAGTCTAATTAAGCATTTATTGTAACACTCACGTCAGTCTTCTCCTTGGACATCAGCGTCAACGTGGTGTCCATCAGTTCGCTCAAGAACTCCTTGGGCTTCCTGAGCGCCCAAGCGGGACTGGCTATGAATAATCGGAGATACACTCCGCCTACGACAGGTTCGTTGGTTGCGATGTCGATATTGTTTTGTGTATCGGGTAACTTTAATATGGCATTAGGATTCCGTCTCTGCAGTGCGTGGTACCTAAACGGCGGGAGGACGATTAATCGAAAAAAAAAAAATCGGTAAGAAAAAGAAACGGTTTCCGAAGCTTACTCGTCCTTTAACTCCGCGATGATTCTCGCTACTTTAGCTTTTGCGTCATCGTCCCAAATTAATTCGGGATTCTCGTGCTTCGTCTCGAACATATGGACGCACTGCTTGGGCGCATCGCGAATAGCTTCGCTGAACAGCCTGGGTAAGAATTTCGACAAGTCGAGCTTCACTTTCGGCCCGGCCAATTTGTCGGACGACATTTTTGCGAGTAATTCAGCTGCAGCTTCCCTTATCTGGATATTGCTCGAGTTACAAAACAGATCAAGAACGTAAACAACAGCTCCTGGAAAACGTTAGCAAAGTGCAGTTCACCGTTAGATTCGGTCGTTTCATCGATACGCTACAGATTAGCATGTAGCTGCACAAACCTTTGACTAGTGCTTCTTTTACGATCTTAGTCGCACTCATCAGCGCATACAAAGTTTCTAATGCGAGAAGCTGACATTCCTTTAGGCTGTGCAAACATAACAACAAATGCACTACAACTTCATTCGCGGCAATGTCGTCAACGCATTCCTGATTTTTGGTAACGTTACTGATTACTTCCAGAGCGCTCCTCTGAATGAGTTTGAAATTGTTACAACTCAGAAGTCCGAACAGCAATTTGAAATGTCCCATACACTGCAGCTCGATTCCAGGATTATTTTTGATAATATTCTTTAGTGCTCTGAGCGACATGACGATGTGCTCCAATTTTTCATGGTCCTTTTTACCCAATGCGACACTTCCCAACGACGTTAAGTACTCCCAAGATTGCGATAAGAAATCAAGCAAGTTTATCGTGAAACTCTTTGGATTCTGAAAGTTAAACAGTTCTAACTAAGATTACTTTGGTCACTTTCGTCGATCGTAATCGATTATCTTCAGCTGGCTCGTGTGTGTCTTTCTGGAACGGATTAGTTTACCTCTATCGGATAGACCGGTTGTTCATTGTACACTTTCACGAATATCTCACCGATTACCAACTCGTCGGCGTGAGCGGTATACTTAAAG